TGGAAGTTGCAGAACCCAGCATCAACTTCCCACCTTGTAGTTCAAGCTCCTCCCGACGCCTACATGAATACCAACCCCTACTTCACCACAGAACTCTCCACCCTCAACTGCCAGTGATGCTACAGAACTGGGTGCCCATTGTCTGTATTTCTGGGATGATGATTCTAAGTATCATCATCCAGCTACTGACATATCTGGGTCAAGTCAGAAAAGACCTAGAACCTAGGGAGTTTTAGCTGGATGTCCCTGAACCAATGGGTGAGAAAAGAATGGGATAGATGTCAACATGCAGCCCTATCATGTCACTGCTACCCATATTAACAGGTTTGTTGAAGAGCCTGTTAAGAGAGTTGAGGACAAGAGACCAGCTATACTTGAAGAGAATAGCTCAACCCTCCTGCTGAGCTTTGCAGAGTCAATCTTTAGATGCCTGGGCGAGGGCAGAACCTGGAAGAGTCCAGTCCATCTGTAAATCAGTTGCCCACAGGGAAAATCCAATTTCCAGTGCCATCAGGACATAAGCCTTAGTATTGGGGTGTCATTAGTTGGATTTCCTCAAGAGGTGGCATTGACAGACATTCTCCTTGATTTAATCTTGTGTCTACTAAAGTTGAATCCTTAAAATTCAGATCCATTTTATGAGTTTGGTTCTACTGTGAGTTTACATCATCGCTTTCAGGACTTAAAATTGTGCCTTAATAAAAGAAAAGTATGAGTAGTCATTACCTGTCTTGCCAAGTATTTTAGCATGAGATCCTTGGTGGTAAAGAGGTTAAGAAATCAATGATGTTCAATGTTGTACTTTATTAATATGAAACACATTTTGGTTCTGTTCCCTTATTCTGGTGCATTAATAGGGCTATACTGATTTTTAGAGTTCCTTTTCAAAAACATGGGTCATTATTTCATGTCACTCATATCTTAAATTTGATTCAAAGGGTCAAGAGGTGCTTATTTCATAAAATACATATTTATTTAGGTTCTACTGTCGGCTAGCATTCTACTCACTCGCCTAATTTTGTAATTCCGTCTTATGCACTGTGTACAAATGCGTGAAAACCTATCTATAAATGGACCACTAGGTAGCATGGTGATTAAGGCACTGGACTCCCACATGGTTGATCAGTTTGAGTCTCAGACCTGGTGGCTTGAAAAGCATTCCAGGTGCGTGTACATGTGAGTCCCAAATCCCAGGAGAATGGAAAAAGGATTGCAGTGTGGCCTTCCCTCCTGGTGGGTAAATTCTCATTTTCCTTCCCAGTTTCTCCAATGAGCACAGGTGCCCTATGGTGAACCCTAAAAAAATAAAAATAAATAATTGAACACTTCTTAAAAGAAAGGAGACCAGTAGGTAGTGTGGTGGTTGAGGTGCTGGAAACTCCCACATAACCGACCACAGTTTGAGTAAAGGACTTGCTGGCTTGCTTTATCACTCTCTCTCTGGTCAAATTAAAATAAATGAATGAATAAATAAATAAAACTAACTATCTAAAAAAGTTAAAGAAAAAAAAGACCAATTATATTGATAGCATAGTATTGGGGGGTGGGAGAGGCATTTGTTTTTCTCAGTCACATAGTTCTGCAGTACTTGATTCTTTAATGATCATGCACTGGCTTCCTAACAGAAAAAAATCACTTGCAAACTATTGATAAAACCGTACTGTATCATTTCAATTATATGACATTTTAGAAGACAGAAACAGAAGTAGCTGCAAAGACTCGAGAGGGGGCGAAGGGAAGAGTTAAAGTAGGCGAGATATAGGGTGGTGAAACTATTCTGAGTTATATCGCTGTAACAGATGTAGGATGCTATACATTTACCAAAACCTACTGAACTTGGGACCAGCAGATGGTATAATGTTTACATTGCTTGACTCCCATGTAGTTGACCATGGTTCGAGCCCTGGACCCAGCAGCTTAAAACTCATGCCGGACGCGTGTGCGTGCATGCCCAAAATCCTGAGAGGAGAATGGAGAAGGGATTGCAGTGTAGCCGCTCCTCCTGATGGGGGGGTGAGGGGTGACTTCTCGCTTTGTCTCTCTCTCTCCAGTGAGTGCATGCGCCCTATAGTAACCTAAAAAATTTAAAAAAATAAAAACCCAAACAAAACCCCCCAAAACACCTACTGGACTTTATAACACAGAGTGAAACTTTATGCGGATCTAAAAATAATCATTTAGGAAGTGGAGGGAGAATAGAGGACAGAAGGCAGAATGCAACAACACAATTACTGTGTATTACGAACATTAACATTTCACTAAAGGAAGTGGAAAGGTGCTGACCTCAGTAACTTTGGAAATGGAGTCTGTAAAATTAAAGGCAGAAGAAACTGTACATATGGGCTTAACAATTCTAATGTTGCTATGCGAGTATACTGGAATGAACAATTAAGGCAAATGAATTGCAGATGGCGGGAGCCAGGTTTTTCATTTTCACTGAAATAACACTACACTGATTAGTTTGCACAATTAGTACTGTTAAAAATCAACTTTTGGGGGCTAAAAGAGGCGTAGTGGTTAAGGCGCTGGACTCTCACATGGCAGACTATGGTTCGAGTCCTGGATCTGGTGGCTTAAAGATGATGCTGGGCATGTGTGCCACATGTACATGCCCCAAATCCCAGGAAAAGACTGAGACATGGTCATCCCCCTTGAGGGGTGATGTCTCACTTTCCCTCTGTCTCTCTGGTGAGCACATGTCCTATGGTAAAAATCTTTAAATGAACTTTTTAAAAATCAATTTCTGCACTTGTGCCTTTGCAAAGTTTGTAACATAGCGATATGTGGCAAAAAGAATTTTACTGAAATGACTGATTTATTCACATAGCTATCATGTTTAAACATTTCTCTTAAGTTTTTTTTGCCATAGGGTGTGTACACTCACAGGAGGGAGAAAGAGAAGGAAAGTGAGAAAGCACACCTTAGGGGGATGGCCACACCACAATCCCTTCTCCTCCATTTGCCTCCTTGGATTTTGGGCATGTATGCACACATACCTAGCCTGATTTTCAAATTTCCAGGTCTAGGACCCAAACCATGGTCAGTGGAAATTCAGCACCTTAACCACCATGCCACCTGCTGGCCACTAATTTTTATTTATGAATGTAGTAATGACAAAAAAACATCAAATTTTGACCAATATTCCTCAAAAGTGTCATCTATGTCATCAGAAACAAGAAATTTGAGAATTGTCATAGAGAAGAGGAACCTACATTGATACAATGATTAATTATATGGTATCCTGGAACAGAGAATATTAAGTTAAAACTTTCTTCCAAGGTACACAAATGGCCAATTAAGCATATGAAAATATACCTAAGACTATTAGTCATCAGGGAAATGCAAATCAAAGCCACTTCATACTCATTAGGATTGCTGTAATAAAAAAGATAGTATTGGCATGGATGTAGAAAAAATGGAAGCTTTCAGTACTGCTGGGTTGTAAAATGGTACAACCACTTTAGATGAGTTTGGCAGTTCCTCCAAATGTTAAACATTAAAAGCCAGTCAGGTGGTGTGGTAGTGAAGGTGGCTAGATCCCACATAGCCAACTCTGTGGTTTGAGTCTCAGACCTGGAGGGACTCAGTGTGCTTGAAAATCACTGGCTGCATGTGTGCACATGTGCAAAATCTGGAGAATGAAGGAATTGTCATATGGTTACCCCTGGGGTGATCTACACACCAAATTGAAACAAACAAAAATAGGTTAAACATAAAGTTACCATGTGATCCAAATCCACTTCCAGGTATGTATGTGTATATATAGGTGTGTGTGTATATATACATACATAATCTCTAAATGATTTTAAAATATGTCCACACAAAAACTTATGTGTCCATAGCATTATTCATAATGGCCCTGGAGTGGAAAAAAAAAATGTTCACCAACAGACAAATGGGTAAAAAAAAAATGTTATCTATACAGGAGTATCATTTGGCAATTAAAAATATAGATCTATGCCATAGACGAAGATAAAACCTTGAAAACATGCTAAATGAACTTTTTAAAAAGGCCACATATTGATGTCACTTACACAAAATATCCAAAATAGTCAAATATTTAGAATTAATCATTAGTGATTAAGTCAGTAGTTGCAGAAAGACTGGAATGGAAAATGACTAATCGGTTTAAGGTTTCTTTCTCAGAGTGATAAAGGTGTTTGGGAATTAGTGGCAATAACTGAATATACTGAAAACTGTGATACTTTAAAGGCCAAACTTCATGGTATATAAATCATGTTTCATAAACCTGTTAATTTTTTTAAATGCTGGTAACAACAAACACCTACTCTTCAGACAATAAAGTACAGCAAGACCAAGAAAGATAAAAGGTAAGGTTTCCAAAGAGCTGTCTTTGCTATATTAAAAACCTGGGTATAAAAGTTGAAAATAATAATAAAAGACTACACTGAACAACCGTTTCATAAACCTTTATTGGAAAGGCTACAAACTTCATATTGCCACTGGATTTCTTTCCCTTAAAGTGATTATGGAGAAGTAAGCTTGGATACAAAACTATGCAGTTGAATCTTGCCCAGGCTTGTTGTAAAATATTTTTTTGTACAATGGAGGTAGAATAAATAGGGCAATTAATTTAAACCTCACAAGCCTTGATTACTGTCAGGACACCTTTTTATTATTCAGGTTTTAACAGACCTAGAAATAAACTATGATTACTATATTTAGACTTATGGATGGCATAATACATTTAAAATTTTTAGTTTTAATTTTCTCCATTTGCTCCCTTACAAATGTAAAATGTGCATCTGATGTCTCTCTTCCCTCAAATACGTGTGTGTCCTAAAAATACCTACTCTGGGAGTGAAAAGGCAAAAGCAGAAGACGGAAAAAAATACAATAAATATCCTTTTCATATTAGTTTTATCTGATTTTCCTCATACCAGCCTAAGAGTCTTACTTTTCTATAAAATATTATAGGATATCAAAGTAATAATCAATACTTCCCCCAATTTTAAATATTCAACTTAATGGAGACAGAGCATCTTTAACTTAACATTTAATGAAAACAGAGCATTTTAACAGGTTCTATGCAAACATGGTTCCACTATTGATTTGCTGTTACCTTATTTTTTAAAAAGGGGTAGTGGTGGGGAGATACAGAGGCAGGGCTATCCCCAGCTAGCAGGATCATAACTTAGGAGTTACATAACTTAGATGTCCTTGACTCTACAAAGCATCAATTGAAGCCAATAAAGCCTGTTTCTACCAACCTTTTGTTTTTAAAAACTACACAATGGGCAGGTGCCTGAGGAATAAAGTTCAGGCCAATGGGTTTTTAAGGGCTCTTTAAGAACCAGAACTAAGGATACATTCTCCAGTTTAAGATACATTTTACAGCTCAAAATACGTTTTTCCTTCTAAAAACGTGACACAAAGAATAATTTACATCAACTGCTTTTTATTATCAAGTTTCAGAAACCCTTCACAAGATGGTAAAAAAAAAAAAAAAAAAAAAAAAAAAAAAAAAGAAAGAAAGAAAAAGAAAAACAAAACAAAAAAACCCCAAAACTTTACAACCACAGCTAATGTAATTTTTCCCCATTGTTCCCAGTCAGCTCCAAACCCATTGTGTGCAAAGCCCATTTTTTCCATGCATCTAAATGATAGATACAGGCTATGAAATTCTTTATTCTATTTGTAGCAGCTTATGCAGGTGCAGCCAAACACAAAGCTTCAGGACAAATTGTACAAACTTTACAATGTGGGATTTGAGTTTAAAATATGAAACATAAAATCTACACAAAACTGATAAAAATCAAGCACAGACACCAGGACTGAAACTTATACCCCACGTGTGAAAGGGACTCTCATTTCCTTTCAAGTGCTTTCTTTATTCTGCTACAGAACAGTCGAAATGAAGATGTAAAGCTTTGTGGTTAGTTTAAATTATACACTCTGTAGATACTATACCAATTTAAAAAGTTACACATAGACCAACAGATGTCCATCAGTTCATCTGGATTGATCAGACACTCCAGCTGGATTGTTGAGAACAAATCAGGCAAACGTGGAAAGAAAATCCACCTGTGCAATTTGTGTGCAGAGTTTACTGATGGGCACACTGCACGCCAGGTCCATGATGGCTGCTGCTTTCTTCATCGGAGCTATCGTTATAGGCTTCGCGCCTCTGACCACCTCCTGAGCCTCGAGTGCTATCAAATTCCTGAAGCTCTACCTCCTCTGTTTCTCCAATTATGTTAGGAACCTCCGGTCTAGAGGGCAGAAGATCTTCTAGTTCCTTCATTTAAAAAAACAAAATCAGGTCAGTTAAAATATTTTCATCAACATCCCTTTTAATACAATCCAGGTATATGCTTCTTTGACCCACAGGCCAAATCTTGAGGCACCTCTTGTGCAACCCATCTATTGCTTCAAAAACAAAAAAATGGAATTGGTTGCTAACATTTAGACACTGGAAAATTTTGGAGCAGACACGGCACTTCCCGCATTCTGCATGAAACACCAGCTTACTAGAGGGTGAGTGGGGAGTGTCTGTATTCTTCAGTTGACAAACTTGTACTGATAGTCCTAGGTTCCCTCATCATCACCTATACCCAATCTGCTTTACTCCCAATGCCTGGCTTCCCATAAACATTTAGACCTGCAATTCTCATTTGAATAGTAATCAGGAAAACCCATCAATAATGCAAATATTTAAAAAGAAAAATTTTCAATTGTGTGATTATAATTTTAGTACCAAAACCAAATTGAAGGTAACAAAGGAACAAGGTATTAAGAGACTTTTGGCCACTTGTTGCTTAAATTTAGAGAATACTTACAGAAAGCTTATCTGGGTTGATCCAGTTGTTTTCAGGAAACTGTACATCAAACTTTATGTAAAGATCGCCTTTTTCAAAGGGATTACGATACTGTGGCATTCCTTCACCTCTGACTACACGAACACATCCTATTATGTGAGTAATAAACAGGAAATGATTAGGAAATTCTACCCAATGTATGTGTTCACTATTATGTGGAGTTACCTACTATAACGAATTATAAATTTTAAGAACATGTGGAAATCTGGATTAGGTAAAAATCAAGATTTACCTGGTTCAATTACTTTGCCAGGGGGGTATTTCACCACAATCTGACGTCCATCAAGGTGCTTAAATGTGAACTGAAATCCACATAGAGCTTCAACAAGTCCTATCTTATATGTCATGTGCAAATCATTCCCATCTCTCTGGAATACCTACAGATAAAGCAAACAAGAAAAACATTAACAAAAACTAAGGAGCCATAACCTGTTGTACTATGATCTTTGGTTCGATTTAAATAACTTAATTCTATCATTCACCACAGGAGGCAGTGTCACTCTCCCTAATTCCCTAAATTTACATTAGGAACATAGTTATCCTCAAGTATTGGGCTAGAAGCTTTTATTAGAAAGGCACTGGAACTGGGAAAAAAAATGGCACAGAACAGAGCTGGCTCCAAAAACAGCACAAGACATACTTTGCAATTATGGCCCACTTCCTGACTCTGACCAGCAGGCTTCTGTAGAACAGACTCACTCCAAAGTGCCTCAGTCATATCTAAACAGGAAAGGGTGTCCAACGTTAGCCTTAAAAAGTGTAATGCTTAGTCAGTAAGGTAAGGGGTTTAATTCTACACTTTACATGTGCACAAAGTTTTTTTTTTGAGAGTTTTTTGCTAAAGGGCACGTGTGCTCACCAGAAAGACAGAGACAGAGAGAGAGAAAGCGAGAAATCACCCCCCCAACGGGGATGGCCACACCGCAATCCCTTCTCCTCCATTCTCCCCTCGGGATCTTGGGCACGCACGCACATGTGCCAGGCATGAGTTAAAGCCACTGGGTCCAGGACTCGAACCGTGGTCAGCTACATGAGAGTCCAGCGACATAGCTATTATGCTAACTGCTGGTCCCCATTTGTACAAAGTTTTATCTCACTTAAAAATTCAAAACCTGGGACCAACAGGTGGTGTAATGGTTACACTGCTAGACTCCCACAGTCGATCATGGTTCCAGTCCTGGACCTAGTGGCTTAAAACTCATACCAGCCACATATGTGTGCATACCCAAATCCCAGGAGAAGAATGAAAAAGGATTGTGGCATGTCTATTGCCCCAGAGGGTGATTTCTCACTTTCTGTTTCTCTGGTGAACACACATACCCGATAGGAAGTATCTCTTAAAATAAATAAATGAATGAATGAAATCAAAACCTGTTGAGATAAAATGTAAATTAAACAGCATTGCTAAAGTTGACTTATTTAATATTATATACACTATAAAATAGGTAATGCAAAAAGCGTTACCTTATTCTTTGAAAAGGCACAACAAATGTTTTTGAGCATTCAATGTGACAACAAATATAACTTCACACATGCTCCACTGTACTTTCTGCTTGAGAAATTAAAATACCTATACATAACTTTTGAAATTTAAGATGAAACAAAATTAGCTTCAGTGAATGGTCACCTAGTTTTTCCCTAGCACAATTCTTTTAAAACTATACAAATCCAAATCCAAACATACATACATCCAACTCTCATGCTCAAATCTACACTTAGTAGTATGTAGAATGTTTCTGATGCACTGACTTTTCTCTCACTTTAAATTATTTATTTTAAAAATTTTGCTATATGGCACATGTAGCAAACTAGAGAGAGAGACACAAAGAAAAGAAAAGTGAGAAAGCAAGCCACCAGGTCTGGGACTCAAATTGTGGCTGGCCAAGTGAGAGTCCAGCACCTTGACCACCACACCACCTGCTGGCCCAATTAATTAATTCATTTCTTAAAGGGTTTTGTCATAGTGGGTGCTCACTAGAGACAAAGACACAGAAGGAAAATGAGAAATCACCCCCATAGAGGATGACCATTCCACAACTCCTTCTCCTCCACTATGCTTTAAGGTAATTAAACCATTATCTTAAACCAGTGACTCTCTGACTGTAGTTCATGTAACAGTTTGTTCTCATCTGCAGGGATACATTCCAAGATGCCCACTAATGTGTGAAACAGTAGAGAGCACTGAAACCTACTGATACCATGTTTCCCTATACAAACATCCCTAGGATAAAGTAATTCATAAATCAGGCACAGTAACAGTTACTAATAATAACAAAAATTTTAAGCTACAGAGAGTTACACAAATGTGATCTCTCTCAAAGTATCTTACTGTACTGGATTCACCTATTTTCCGACTGTGGTTGATCAAAAATGAGGGAACCACTGTACACACTCCCAGTCCCACCCCTACTGCCAGAATCTATGAAGGTGGGGCTCAACAATCTGTAGTTCTTTTGTTTTGTTTTAGTTTTTGCTATGGGGTATATAGAGATCGAGAGACATCAAGTGATGGCCATGCTGCAATTCCTTTTCCTCCATTTTTTCCCCTTGGAATTTAGGGACACACACGCACATGCAGCTACAGTGATTTTCCAACCTGGTGGGTTTGGGACTCTAACCACATAGTGGGCCAAGGGATCCAGCTACCTTGACCTCCACGCCACCTGCTGGCCCCAATCAGTAGTTTTTTTTAAGAGAGATTTTTTTTTTTTGCTACGGTGCGTGTGCTCGCCAGAGAGACAGTTAAAAGGCAAGAAATCAGAAACCAGCAGTTGGTATAATGGCTATGTCACTATACTCTCATGTAGCTGACTGTGGTTCAAGTCCCGAACCCGGTGCCTTAAACAGATGCTGGGTGCGTGTGCGTGCATGCCCAAGATCCCGAGAATAGAGGAGAAGGGATTGCAGCATGGCCATCTCCCCAGGGGTGATTTCTTGCTTCCTGCCTCTATCTTTTTGGTGAACGCACACACCCTATAGCAAAAAAAATAAAACCCCTCCTACCCCCCCAAAAAAAGGGCAAGAGAGGGAGGATGGCCATACTACAATCTGTTCACCTCCATTCTCATTGTGGGATATTGGGCATGCATGCACACATGCCGGGCGAAAACTGTGGTCGGCTATGAGAAAGTCCAGCACCCTAACCACTACGCCACCTGCTGGTCTCAACTGTAGTTTTAATAAGCCTTCCCAGGGGGAGCAGCAGGTGGCATGATGGTTACATCACTGGACTTCCACATAGTTGACCATGGTTCGAGTCCTGCAACCAGCTGCTTAAAACTCATGCCAGTGTACCAGCAGATGGTGTAATGGTTATGTTGCTGGACTCCCACATAGTTGACTATGGTTTAAGTCCCAGATCCAGTGGCTTAAAACTCACGCTAGGAATGTGTGTATGCTTACCCAAAATCCCAAGAGGAGAATGAAGAAGGGACTACGGCATGGCCACCCCCTCTGGGGGGGTGATTTCTCACTTTGTGTCTCTCTCTCTGGCGAGCACACATGCCTTATAGCAAAAACCCCTCAACCTCCGCCCCCCCCTCCAAAAAAAACCAAACTCACACCAGGTACATGTATGTGCATGGTGCCCCAAATCCTGAGAGAATGGAGAAGGGACTGGTATGGTCACCCCCACAGGGAGTGATTTCTCACTTTCTCTGTCTCTCACAGGCACATGTACCCTATAGCAAAAATCTCAACAGCAACAACAACAAAATCAAGCCCTTGGGGCCTGCAGGTGGCGTGGTGGTTAAGGGTGCTGGACTCCCACATGGTCGACCGAGTTTCAAGTCTGGGACCTGGTGGCTTGCTTTCTCTCTCTCTCTCTCTGTCCCTCTCTGGTCAAATCAAATCTAATATATTCAAAAGTCTGAGAACAAATTAATTTGTATTAGCTCTGCACACATTTACTCAAATGTTCCTCACAATGGGATCAATAAGGTTTCTTTCATGCAGTACATTTCAATCATTTAAAAATGCTATGTATAATGTAATGCCAGTGTTTCTGTGTATCTTATAATAATAGTGTTCCAAGAACCGTTTCTTACCAAATTATCTTTCAGTTAAAGCTCTACTAGAAATAGGGTATAGGACAATACCATGTTTTTGTACAGTATAGTTGGATTTAAAGTGATTTCAATAAAAAATGATATTAGGGTTGTGGCTGGTGTTTTGGTTGGTGCGGTAGATAATTTGATGCTAAAGTTTAAACAAGAGGAGTCAACTGGTGGGACAGTCCTCTGCGATGCTGGAGCCACATGGGAAGGTCCCAGGTTAGTGTCCCAATGTCTCCCTGCACACAAAGAGGGTTGCACATGTGCATGCATACCCATGATCTGGGCTGACTGGAGCTAGGGGTGGATTATGGCATAAGGACCCCTACTGGGGATGCCCATCTCTTACGAATTAACAGATTAAGTTTAAACAGAGAAATAAGCAAGAATACCAGGAAATTTTTGAAAAAGGTTCATGAGAACGGACTACTAAGCATCGGAGAATAAAGCGCAAAAAGATTACAGTAGAGTGACATCACCAGATTCTGTGATTTTGTGCTGTACAAATGCATTATGTGGTTGGGTCCAAGGCCTGGTAGTTACTGGAGCTAGACGTCATTCATAGGTGAAAAGGGCAGTGCCCCCACTCACCCAAATAGAGCCATTGTACTGCATGGTCCCTGTTAAATCTCCCCCTACTTTTATTTGATTCCAATTCTTCTCCTCTCCCAGTCACCATACTTAGACATGTAAATCTTGTTATTAAAGAATTCATGGGCCCTTGCAATGGGACTTAATTAGATAGAGGCCAGCAGGTGGCATGGGGGTTAAGGGCACTGAACTCCCACATGGCTGACTATGGTTTAAGTCCCAAACCTGGAAGCTTGCTTTCTCTTTCTCTCTCTCTCTCTCTAGCCCTCTCTGGTCAAATTAAATAAATAAAGTTAATCAGATAAAGACCAGAAGGTCAGATGGACATAGTCCAGAACATGCAGGTAATACAAAAGCATTATCACAAAGATGGGAACGGGGCAAGGCACTTCCTGATGGGCAGGATCCTCCCGGATTCTGGGGAATGGATTCTAAAATATGGATCACCAGGTCCTCAAAGTTAACTGAAATACTATAACCTTTTCCAAATTAACAGCCTCTGAACAAACTCATTTCCAATTAGCAACCATTACTTAGGGTCTTATGACCATGAGTTCACCCTAAGGTACAGCAAAACCTATAGGACATATGACCCCTATCACTGGTGGGACACATGCACGATAAGCCCTGACAAAGCCTCTCCTAACCCAGATGAACATGCCCCCCCCCAACATTCCATGCCCTTGTAGTTCTTCTCCCTTATGATATTCCTCCCCTCTGCAATCAACTCTCCACTTGCTATCCTCTCTCTATGTCTGCATACCCAATTCTTCATGCGGGTGAGACAAGGACCTGGTCAACTTACAGCTCCAGATTTGGCAGTGGTGTTGGGCCTGATCACCCCAACTTCTATTATCAGCTGGATTTCCCCAAGGCCTACCACACAAATTGAACTCTGGCCTCAAGTAGCTTGAAAAACACACTGGACACTGGGTTTGTGCTTGCCTCAAATCACAAAAGGGTGGAGAAATGGAAGAGAAAGGATTTTAGCATGACCACACCCCATGGGGAGGGCTCTCTCCCTCTTCCTCTCTTCCCCTCTGGAGAGCACACATGGCCCTCTGGCAAATGGGGGGGGGAGGTGAAGAGAGGCATTATGAACACACACAGACTGAAAAGTAATATGGCAAGATGAATATACATGATTATAGTACTTCTAAAAACGGAATGTTTTTTGATCCAAAGGTTTATACTGTTTGGCCAGCTGGTGGTGTGGCGGTTAAGGTGTTTGCTCCCACATGGCTGACTGCATAGGGTTCAAATCCCAAACTCCAGCAGTTTGAGAAACACGCTGGTGCCAAGTGTGTGCATGCCCAGAATCTCAAGAGGAGAATGGACAAGAGATTTTGGTGTGGTCATTCCTCCAGGGGGTTGTTTTTTCACTTTCCCTGTCTCTTTCCAGAGAGCACATGTGCCCTATAGCAAAAACTTGAGAGAAGATTTATATTCTTTCATCTACAACACCCACCCTAATCTCATTATGGCCTTAATTATTTTAGCAAGAGTTAGGATTGGGTGAAAAGGCACAAAACAGAATTCACTCAACAATTCACTAGCTTCATGTTCTAGTTCAAACCATTCTAGTTTTCTTCATAAGACTGAGAACATTTGGGTCAACAAGTAGAATGGTGGTTAAGGCACTGGACCCACATCATCAACAACAGTTTGAGTCTCAGATCTGGCGGTTTGAGAATCACCCAGGTGTGGGCCCAAAATCTCGAGGAGAATGGAAGAGAAGGGACTGTGGTATGGTCATCCTCCCTTGGGGAGATTTCTCACTTTCCCTCTCTCTGCCTCTGGTAAGCACATATGCCCTATGACAAAAAATTAAAAAACAAAAACAAAAACAAAAAACCCCAACCAAACAAACAAACAAAAAAAAACAGAACTTTTTCAGTGGTATAAACTAAACTAAATAAAATGCTCAATCACAGCATTGGCTCAAATTTACTTTACTAAACCAAGAAAGGGCCAGCAAGTGGCACAGTGGTTAAGGTGCTAGACCCCCACATGGTCGACCATGGTTGAGTCTTGGACCTGGTGGCTTCAAAATCTCACCAGGCCGTGTGTTTGTACATGCCTAAAATCCTGAGAAGAGAATAAGGAAGAAGGGATTGTGGTGTGTCCATCCCCCCAAGGGGTGACTTCTCACTTTCCCTCTGTTACTCTGTGTCTCTCTGGTGAATGCATATGCCCTACAGCAAAAATGAAAATTAAATGAACCTTCATTCTAACCTTTAGTATCTTCTACTTTCTTTTTCCTTTTTTGAGAGAGATTCTTTGTTATAGGGTGCACATGCTTGCCAGAGAGACAGAAAGCGAGAATCACCTCTTGGAGGGGATGGCCACGCCACAATGACTTCTCTTATTTAATCTCCTCTCAGGATTTTGGGCACACACACACACGCACCTGGTGTTACATTTCAAGCTGGTAGGTCCAGGACTCAAACCACTGTCAACTACGTGGGAGTCCAGCAACATAAATATTATGCCATCCACCTGTTCCACTATCTTCTACTTTCTACTTTAGACCAGTTACATTTGCTTTCTGTTGGAAACTGCCGCTAAAATTTTAATAGGTGACTTACTTTTTTTTAAAAAATTATTTAGTTAGCTTTATTTCTTCATTCATTTAGTTTTTAGTTTTGACCAGAGAAAGACAGAGAGAGAGAAGGAGGGAAACTGAGAAAGCAAACCACCAGGTCCAGGACTCAAACCAGGGCCAGTTATGTGGGTGTGTCCAGCACCTTAACCACCATGCCACCTGCTGGTCCCCAATAGGTGACTTACTTTTAAAGGCCTCCCAACAGCCCTAAGAAAAGAAGCTTATTCATAATCTCATTTGATTCTACAATATCCTTCCCAAGGGAGATTGTCTTTGTTTTTGCTCAGCAAAGCCAAGCCCAGGGAAACTAAAGCTGGCAAAATGGGAGTCAGACCTTTAGTCCCTTACTTCCAAACCCAGTGATCTCTACTTTTAAAGTCCAATTTAATTATACAGCAATGTTAAATACTAAATTTAAAGTTAAAAAAAAAGGGTTTAAATCCCCCGAAATATCACTCCTAAACTTCACGGCCCCCTTGAATTCGACACTGTCTGAGGCCATTTGATAACTGACTCCAGACTGCTTCGGTGATTCTTTTTTTTTTTGGAAGAAAGGTTTTTGCTATAGGGCATGTGAACTTGCTGGAAAGAGAGAGAGGAACAAAGAGACAGAAAGTAAGAAATCACCCCCCAGGGGGGATGGCCATGCTGCAATCCCTTCTCTTCCATCTCATCTCAGGATCTTGTGCACACATGCGCATGTGCCCAGCTTAAATTCAAGCCTAGGGTCCGGGACTCAAACCATGGTCGACTTCGTGGGAGTCCAGCGACATAACCATTACGCCATCTGCTGGTCCCCTGCTTCAGTGACTCTATCAGTAAAAATATTCATGTATATTAATGCCTTGTATGCGTCATACAGTGTTGTATAGGCAAAACTGAATTACAGAGGTAGAAGCTAAAATGCCAACAGAGAATCTTCCAAGAGTGATAAATATTTCAATCTTCAGGCGATGAGGCAGAATTGTAGAAATCACTCTTACTTTCCTTTTTTTTTTCTTAGAGGTTTTTGCTATAGGGTGCGTGCGCTCGCCAGACAGAGACAGACAAAGAGACACTAAGTGAGAAATCACCCCCCAGGGAGGATGGCCACGCCGCAATCCCTTCTCCTCCTTTCTCCTCTCGGGATCTTGGGCACGCATGCACACGCGCACAGCGTGAGTTTTAAGCCACTGGGTCCGGGATGCAAACCGTGGTCGACTACGTGGGAGTCCAGTGACATAGCCATTACGCTAACTGCTGGTTCCACTTTCTTTTTTTTTTTTTTAGCAATCTTATAGACCCCTGCTGTCATTTATAAGTTTGGCAATATCCACCAAAAGCCAAGATACATGGTAATTCACAGCTTTGCTGAGGCATAAAATCTGCCTATTATGAATATCCTGGAAGAATATTCCAGAAGAGCATGACAACCTTGTGAGAGAATATAATCCAATTACCAGGATCCGCATTTTACGCCAGGCACTTGCGTGTATGCCCTTTATTGTTTTCTAGATTCTAGAGGTGATTTTAAACTTTACTGTTACTTGCAGAAATAACCAACAAAAGGAATAGAATTTTAGTGTAAATTAAAATGTGGTTAATCTGTTACGTAAAGATTCAGAGGAACTCTTGAGTAAATGTGATCAAATACAAAGACAGAATTTCGTCAAATGCGTTCAAATGCGTCTACATTCACCAGTGTTAGACAAATTCTTTTTGCCTTGATACATATTCAAGCAAAAATTTAAAAGAACTCCAGAATCTTTTTTTCCTTTAAAGAAACTCACCTAGCTACCCAACAAATCAATCAACAGAGCAGTACTGAAGACTAAAGCCCTGGTCCACTAATCACTCATCAAATTAATTTCACAGTGAAAAAAGATCATCTGGTCCAATGCCTTTATTTTCATAAACAAGGAATCAGGTGCAGAGACAACAAGATTAAAGTTATTACAGTGCCAGTCAATGGCCAGTCCAGGATTAAATCTGACTCCTATGATGCTTCTGACTACACCTGTCTTGTTAGCTTTATACAAGTCATTCTATGCTCTCTTACCAACTCTATCAATCTTCAGTCATTCCAGGAAATCCAAATAGATTAAACCTATTTCTCACAAACAAGACCCACTTCTGAATAAAACAAAATACAAATAAAAAATATAAAACAAAGGAAATTACCTCATGTTCTTTCTCCTGTAGCAAAAGAACAATGTCTCCTGGTTCCACTCCTGGGGCCTGGTCTGCTTCCCCAGTAAATGTGATTCTCTGTCCATGTTTCATGCCTTTGTCTACGTGGACTTCAAGAATCTTGACTTCTTTTATCACCTTCTTCCCTTCACATTTTTTACAACGGTCCTTTTCATTAATTACCTCTCCTAGAAAGAGACTTTATTGAAACTTTCAGAAAGAAGATGCACAGCACTCTTGACAATGCCTTCATTCTGGTTCTTGTTTGTTTGTTTGTTTAAAGGTTTTTGCCATAGGGTGCATGCGCTCACCAGAGAGAAACAGAGAGAGTGAGAGGAAAAGTGAGAAGCCCCCTCCCGGGAGGAGGGGAAAAGTTATGCTGCAATCCCTTGTTCTCCTGGGATTTGGGCACATACACATGTACCCAGTGTGAGTTTCAAGCCTCCAGGTCCAGGACCCTAAGAGCAGTTGGCCATGTGGGAGTCCAGTGACATATCCATTATGCCATTTGCTAGTCCCCTCTTCTATACATTCTTTTAAAATACTTGATTATGGTATAATAAAGCAAAATTAAAGTTGTAACTAGTATATTAAGAAAAAACTACCCACTACTTCCCCCCCTTTTATAAATTTTTTTTAAAGGTTTTTGCTGTAGGGTTTATACAATTGCTGGAGAGAGACAGAGAGAGAAAGTGAGAAATCACACCACCAGGAGGATGGCCATGCCACAATCTCATCTTTTCCATTTTTCTCTTGGGATTTTTGGGAACACATGTACACAAAGAGACCCAGTATGATTTTCAAACCTCTGGGTCTGAAACTCAAACCATGGTTGGTCATGTGGGAATCTAGCACCTTAACTATCACACCATCTATTGGCCCCAGCACTGTCTTATTTCTGCTTTTTTGGGGGGAGTTTGTTTTTTATTATTACTATCATCATTATTAAAAAAATTTTTTTACTATCATTATTATTTAATACATTCAATCGCTATACATCTTCTAGCTCATAGAGAAAATTTACCCAACATGAAATAACCTCAGACCAGTCCCCAGCACTGCTTTCTAGATCAGTCCCCAGCACTGCTTTCTAATGGCTGATTATTGGCACACATTAATACTTAGATGTGTTCAACTGATGACTTTGGAGACTTTTTGTTTGTTTGTTTTTCAAAGAATTATTTATGTAATTTATTTATCATTATTGTTCTTCAGTTTTACCAGAGAAAGACAGACAGTGAGAGGCAGGAAGAGTGAGAAAGCAAGCCACCAGGTCCAGGATTTGAACCACAGTCAGCCATGTGGGAGTCCAGCACCTTAACCACTATGCCACCTGCTGGCCCCTTAGGGACTGTTTTTTGACCAGAGCTTCTGTAAAACATGCTCTGTAAACTGTTTTTTTTTTTTTTTTTCTTCAAATAATGATACATGAAAAAAGATTTCAGTCAACTTTGGTTTCTTGACTGTCAGCAACTTTCATAAGGAAATACATATTCTTTTCTTTTTGGAGAGGTTTTTTGCTAGAGGGCACGTGAACTTGCCAGAGAGACAGAAAGCGAGAAATCACCCCCCAGTGGGGATGGCCATGCCACAATCCTTTCTCCTCCAGGGATCTTGGGTGCACACGCGTCCAGCGTGAATTTAAGCCTCCCGGTCTGGGACTCGAACCGTGGTTGACTACATGGGAGTCCAGTGACATAGTCATTACGCTAACCACTGGTCCCAGGAAATATATATTCTCTAGGAGGCTGAGATGTACAGAGTCTCAAAATCAGCTCATCATTTCCAGGAAGAATTTGTAAAGGATGCTGTTGAACTGCATTAATAGAGATCTATACTGTCCAATATGGTGGTCACTAGGCACCTGTAGCAATTTAAATTATTTTAAAAGTTCAGTCCCTGGGGCCAGCAGATGGTGTAGTGGTTACATCACTGGACTCCCACATGGCAGACCATGGCTTGAGTCCTGGACCCAGTGGCTTGAAAATCACATTAGGCATGTGTGCATGCATGCCCAAGATCCCAGGAGGAGTAAGGACAAGAGGGACTGTGGCATGACCATCCCTCCAAGGGTGATTTCTCACTTTCCCTCTCATTGTCTCTCTCTCCCTGATGAGAGCACACATCTTATGGTAAAAACCCATAAAAATAAATTTGGTTCCTTGGCAGCCACATTTCAAGCATTCTATAGCCACGAACAGCTAGTAACTATTATACTACACATTATAAATACAGAACATTTCCATCAGTGCAGGAAAAAAATTATATCAGACAGCACTGCTCTAGAATAAAGTTGTCACAGGCCAAATTGGGAAACCTACTTGTTTTTGTAAACGAAGTTTTACTAGAATACAGCCATGATCACTGCCTGTGGCTATAAGCACTAGTAGAGTAAGAGGTGAGCAGTTATGAAAAACAAGCCTAAAATACTTCTCTGACAAGTACTTCAATTCCAAAATCCATCCTCAAAAGTTTGCTAAAGCTTACAGTAAAATCCACTACTTATTAGAATTAAGTAAACAATTTCCTATATCCTTTATCAAATTTAACCTTTTAATAATACAAAGGGACAGGGATCAGCAGATGATGTAGCAGTTATTTCGCTGAACTCTCACATGGTTGACTACGATTTGAGTTCCAGACCCAATGGTTTCAATCTCATGCCAGGCACATGTGCATGCATGCCCAAAATCCCAAGAGGAGAATGGAGAAGGGACAGCGGCAATGGCCATACCCCCTAGGGAGTGATTTCTCACTTTCCGGTGAGCATGTGCCCCCGATAGCAAAAATCACTCTAAAAAAAGAAAATGTTTTCACATTTTTAGAATTCAGTATGTATCTTTAAGAAGATGAACAAAAACACTTGAAAAAGGAAAACTGTAAACCTTTCCAATTTCTGCATCCCCAAATTATTCCAATATAAAAGCGGAAATACTGGCATGCATACCTTCTCCATTACAATCAGAGCACACAGACTGCATCTGTTGTACCATTCCTGGAGCCAGCTGTCTGATCATGATGCGTACACCTCGACCCCGACAAGCACTGCATTTCTGAACAGCTCCAGACTTTCCACCTTGGCTAAGGCAAAGGGTATGAATTAGATTTTCCCCATAGACCATTCTGATATACCAGACAAACAGAATTTATGCTTTGTACCTTCATCTTCGACCCCCCAAAACTAATACTTAAATTGACTTTCCAAGTATCAGAAGCTGTTGTTTTCTGTTGAGTAGCTAAGTTTAAAATCTTGAAAGATTTTAACCTGGTAAGACTTTCAGTGTGACAATGAAAGAAAAAGCAAACTATATTGCATAAACCAGAAGACATACTTACCCACTGCATGCACTACACAGTACGTTCTTGCTAAGTTGTAGTTTGGTTGTCTTGCCATTATATAGATCTTCTAAAGATACCCTGGGGAGAAATTTCAGGTTGGATCAAATTTTGCCAAGTTTTCTTAAATACAAGATATAAATGAGAGCTGATGAAGCAAATCCCACCATAACCATTTAAAACAAAGAAAAAACATCTCATATTAAGTCAATTTGACTGAGGTTTTATTTTGTAGCTCAAACATGCAGAAAGATTTTATCACTATCAACAGCATATATTGTGCTCAAAACCAAAACCTATAGCATCAAGTCAACAATCTGCTGTGCAACAACTTCTGTTAAAGCTGATGACTATTCAAGCATTACAACCTTCTTTTGGCCTCAAGCACTACCTAAGAAACTCCTGATCACAAAACTGAGGCACAGACTGGTTAAATAACTTGTCTGGGATCACAAAGGTGTTTGGCTCTAGAGCCCATGCTCTACTACAAGGTTCTGCTCCCTCTATGGACAAATTTGAAAGGTTATAAACTTGTATTACAGCTTAAAGGAGGCAATTAGATGGCATATGTCTCAAAAAAAAAAAAAAAAAGTAGTTCTGGGACCAGCAGTTAGCATAATCGCTATGTCACTGGACTCCCATGTAGTCATTCACAGTTCAAATCCCGGACCCGGTGGCTTAAACTCATGCCGGGTGCGTGTGCGTGCCTGCCCAAGATCCTGAAAGGAGAATAGAGAAGGGACTGTGGTGTGGCCATCCCCCTGGAGGGTGATTTCTCACTTTCTGTCTCTCTGGTGAGCGCACGTGCCCTATAGCTTAAAAACAAACAAAGAAACAAACAAACAAACACCTCTCCAAAAAAAGAAAAAAAAAAATAGTTCTGTGGCCAGCAGGTGGCATGGTGGTTAAGGTGCTAGGCCACATGGCTGAATGTGCTTCAAGTCCTAGACCTGGCAGCTTGCTTGTTCTCTCTCTCTCTCACTCTCTGATCAAACTGAACAGTAATTAATTAATGAAATTAAATAATTTTTTAAAAAGTAGTTCTTGCCTACAGTGTGACAGAAACAAAGAATCAACAGCTTTTCAGCAGAGACTTTACAAGTTTTAGAGGTTCTGAAGAACCTACCATATCATAAGCAGAACTCTGTTTGAACAATTTGCATGAAATATTCAAAGAGGTCTACAACATAAAAGATGGAGTGAAAAATTCATAAAGTTGTGTGTGTGTGTGTGTATTTTGCTATAGGGCGCATGTGCTCGCCAGACAGAGACAGAGCGACAGAAAGCGAGAAATCACCCCCCCAGGGGGTATGGCCACACCGCAATCCCTTCTCCTCCATTCTTCTCTTGGGCACGCATGCACACGTGCCCGGCATGAGTTTTAAGCCACCTGGTCCGGGACACGAACCACAGTCGACTACATGGGAGTCCAGAGACATAACCATTACGCTAACTGCTGGTCCCAAAGTTGTATATATTAAATACACACAGCTTTTTGTATGTAGTCATAAGTCAATGAAATGGTATGGGGAAAAAAAAAGCTAGGCTAGCAGATGGCAAAGTGGTTAGGGTGCTGGACACCCACACGGCTGAACGTAGTTTGAGTCCCAGACTTGATTGGAAATCACACCAGGCGCACATGTGTGCATTTCCAAAAACCTGAAAGGAGAAGGGATTGTTGGATGGCCATCAGCCCCAGGGAGATTTCTCACTTTCTCTCTCTCTCTCCTGTAAGCGCACATGCCCTGTGGCAGAAATCTAAAAAAAAAAAATAAAAGGAGGAAAAGAAAGTAGAAAAAACTATTGAGCCAGCAGGTGGCATGGAGATTAAGGTACCAGATCTGTCATGGCCCACTGTGTAGTTTGAGAGGCTTGAAGAACATGATGGGTGCATGTGCGCAAGCCCAAAATCCCAAGAGGAGAATGAAAAACAGACTGCTACGTAGCCATTCTTCTTGGGTGACTGCTTATTCCCAGTCTTCCATCAGGTGAGTGCATGCACCCTATATCAAACTAAAAGATAAAACCCAACTCATTTACTAAGGTGCATAGCATAAATGAATTACAGGACCAACTTTCAAACTAACAGAAAAAAATCAGTATTTATCAAAGTTCTTCAAAAAACTACAAACAGAACCATCTTTTTGGGGGCCAACATACAGCATGGTTATCGTCACTGGATACCCAAACGGCTGACCACCATTCGAGTTTCAGATCCAGTGGCTTGAAACTCACACCATGTGTGTGTGCATGTGTGCCCAAGATCCCAGAAGGGGAATGGAGAAGAAGGGATTGTTGTGTGGCCATCCCCCCAGGGGTGTATGTGTATCATTTCTCACTTTCTCTTCTAGTGTGTCTCTGGCAGGTGCCCTAAGGCAAAAACCTTAAAAAAAAAAAAAAACCTTCTGATCCAGCAGTTTCATTATTAGGTATACATCTAGAAAAAAGGAAATCAGAGTGTTATAAAGATATCTACACTTCAATGTTTATTTGAACATTTGTTTCAAATGCTGGATATTTGTTTATTTACAACAGCCAAGACATGGAATAAAGCTAAGTATCCACCAACAGACCAAGAGATAAAGAAAATGCAGTATATGTTTGTGTGTGTGTATATACACACACAATTTTATACTATTCAGCCTTTAAAAAGAATGAAACTGGGGCCAGCAGGTGGCACAGTGGTTAAGGGTGCTGGACTCCCATATGGCCAACTGCGGTTCAACTCCTGGATCTTGCAGCTTCCTTTCTTACTCCCCTCCCACCCCCTCACTCTGTCCCTCTTTGGGAAAGGAAGGAAGGAAGGAAGGAAGGAAGGAAGGAAGGAAGGAAGGAAGGAAGTCAGTCAGTCACAAAAAATAATAATTAAACAAACAAACAAAAATTGTCATTCCATGCAACATGAACAAGCCTGGAGGACACTATGTTAAGTGAAATAATCTAGACACAAAGAGGAAAAACCACATGTTCTCACTCATGTGGTAACTGAAAAGCTAACCTCACAGAAGTAAAGGGTCAAATAGAAATGATTACTATTACTAGAGCTTAGAAGAGTGGGGGGAGAGGGAGAAATAGAGATACTGGTGAACAGATATGAAATAAACAATTGAGGAAATAAGCTTTAGTGTTTCATAGCACAATAGGATAACTTTAGTTATCAATAATTTATTGTATATTTCAGAACAGCTGGAAGGATTTTGAATGTCCCCAACACAAAGTAATGATAAATAATCTAAGTATATTGAAAGTTGGGACTAGCGGATAGGGTGATTTCTCACTTTTGGTCTCTCTGTCTCTCTCTTTGGTGAGTACACGCGTGCTATAGCAAAAAAAGAAAAAAACTAAATATATCGAATGTCACACATACTATTCATTTAGATTTTGGCAGCAATTTAATAATTTGGTTTTACTCTTCCTGTGTTTTTAAATCTCTTTTAGTAATGATTTACTTTAAAATCCGAGGTATAAGAGGAACAACAACAAAATAGTTATAAGTATTTTACAGGAGCCAGCAGAAGGCATAACGGTTACATCACAGGACTTCCATGTGGTTGACTGCTGTTCCCAGATCTGGTGGCTTAAAATGCGCCAGGCATGCGTGTGTACATACATGCTCAAGATCCCAAGAGGAGAATGGAGAAGAAAGGACTGCGGCATGGCCATCCCTCCTGGGGAGTGACTTCTCACTTTGTCTCTCCCTCCAGTGAGCACATGTACCCTATAGCAAAAATCTCTCCACTACCAATAACATTTTCAAATAATGACAAAACCACAGCTTAGTATTAGACTGAAGCACTTGGTTATCTCCATCTTTTACAATCTTTGTAAGAATCTTTAACCAACCAACAGGTAGTTTTTCTTTTTCTCTACTTGTTCATTTATAACTAGAATATAAAACCATTATCGTAGAAGCCAAAAGGTCCACATTTCAATAAACATGGCCAAGGATGGGAAAATGTAGGTAATGGTTTGCCTAAGCAGGCGGCTGCCACCACTGGCGACTAAACTGGTACAATCCGTCTACAAGAGCCAATTTAGTTGTATTTATCAGACTTAAAGCACTAACGCCTATTTGGAATCTCTGCCAAGGAGAGAAAAACCTGTACACAAGGATAAATCATGGCAGCACTATCTATTATAGAAGAAAACTGGTAACATCCTATATAAAAGGTGAATAATTAAGTAAACTATAGAATGAAATAGTATAAAGCCAAAATGAAATATTTTTAACAGGAAAATTTTACAGCAGAAAACTGCCCTTACTATACAGTATGAAACAAAATTTTAAAATTTGGAAGAACATAAAAAAAATCATAGATATAGAACAAGTACTCTCTTGATCTTATTTACTTTTATACCACCCCCAAAGAAAAAAAATAAAAGAATATTGTACAAATGTTACTCTTGAGAAGTTATTCAAATAATTTACTTCTCAGGATAAATTATTTTAATATATAAAAAAAATTTAAAGATACAACTCAAACATGGTAACAGATTACACAGAACTTCCTCTAAGTTACTCAAATGTTTAAACTGGATATTGTAGAAATATTTTAATAAATACATTAACTCTAGTTTCTGGCACTTGCTGATAAAATCATTATCAGTTCATGAAAAAAATAATGACCGAGACAAAAGAGCTGACAGATTTTATAACATGAGATAGCTATTTTCATAATGCAAAGGACTTGTGAATCTGAAGTCTAAGATCAAGGTCAGACGCCATTCATATGATCGCAGGTTTATGTCAGGCTGGAAGCCAGCAAGCTCCATGGAAACCAATTTAGGAGAGTTCACATTGAGGATCAAGTAATAGTGACTATAACATGTAAACAAACTAGGCAGCCACTCACTTGTAAAAATTTTAAATAAAAAGCTGGAATACTCACATACTTCAAAGAAAATAATTTTCACATTCAAAAATTTAAATTATAACAACAAGCAGCCTCAGAAGTACATAATAAGCCATCTTTTATGAAGTAGAAAACACCAACCACCCGTTAAGAGCTGTAGCAAACCCAAACATCTAGATTATTAAATTCAGTCAACCAATGGCGACATAAGGCAAATGGAAGGTTTTTTTCCCTAATGAAGGGTAAGAACATTTAATGATATTTTTTCTCTTCTGAGTAGTAAATGCTTTTTCTGAAAGTACTTACTATCTTTTGATAAAAGGAAAAAAGATATTTACTTGAGTGGATGCATCATGTCCTCTCCTCTTCTTCTGCCATTTCGACTTCTACTCTGATTGCCCATGAAGCCGAACAATCCTCCACCAAAAATGTGAGAGAAAATATCATCCATGCCACCACCTCCACCGCTACCTTCCCGAAGACCTTGTTCTCCGTATCTGTCATATAACTCACGCTTCTCAGGATTTGATAGTACTTCATATGCAAAACTTATTTCTTTAAACTATAAAGAAAAAGTAAAAATGAACACAATTTGATTTCATAAAGAAGAGTAAGGAAAAGCTACAGAAATTCAGCATCTACTAATCCTTTCTTAAAAAATTATTTTATTGTTATTATTTTATTATTTTTTTAAAGGTGATGAGAGAGAGAGAGAGAAAGTGAAAAAGCATGCCACCAGGTCCCAGGCTAGAACCATGGTCAGCCATGTAGAAGTCCAGCCACCTCAACCACCACGTCACCTGCTGGCCCCCAGAATCTACTCTTTTTTTTTGAGAGGTTTTTGCAATAGAGCACGTGTGCTTGCCAGAAAACAGAGAGAGAGAGAAAGCGAGAAATCACCCGGGGGTGGGGGATCACAGTCCGGGTCTGGGATTCGAACCACGTTGACTACATGGTAATCCAGCAACATAGCCATTATGGCATCCGCTGATCCCAGGATCTAATTCTAATAAATACTATAAGTTATCTTTGGTTTGATTCTGATTCTATTTACCACATACCACTAGTGCTTGGAATACTAGTATTCCTATTACAATACTGAAATACTTTTTATTTTTTGCCATAGGGCACATATGCTCTCAGGAGAAAGAGAGAAAGTCAGAAATCACCCCTCAGGGGGGATGATCATACCGTGATCCCTTCTCTTCCAGAGATTCTGGGCAAGCATACATGTGCCTAACATGATTCTCAAGCTGCCAGGCCTGGGACTCAAGTCGAGATTGGCTATGTGGGAGTTCAGCGTCTTAACCACCAAGCCACCTCCTGCTCCCTCTAAAATACTCAATATAAAAATCAGACCGTAGGTATAGTTGGTTTTCTGGCAATATTCCTTTTATTCTTTTTAAAAATAAATTATTTTATTTAACCTTATTTATTTATTTGATTTGATTTGATCAGAGAGGGAGAGAGCAAGAGCAAGAGAGTGAGAAAGCAGGCTGCCAGGTTCGGGACTTGAACTGTGGTTGGCCATGTGGGAGTCCAGTGCCATTAATCACCACACCACCTGCTGACCCCCCTTTTATTTTTTCTAAATTTGCCAGAAGGCCTGTGTGCTTGCTGGAGAGAGACAAAATGAGAAAGCCCCCTCCCTTCTCCACTTCTCTCGCCTTTCAGGATTTGGGGCACACAGGCACACACACCTAGAATGCTTAAAAGTGGGGACCAGGACTCAAAACTGTACAGGTGGCCATGTGAGATCCAGCAGCCTTAACCATCACACCACTGGCTGGCCTCAACATTTGTTTTTTCAAGGAGGGCAATTTAAGTTTAAACCTAAAACCCCAGGATTAAAAAAAAAAAAAAAGTTTTAAATATCTTAAACTTACTTTGTCTCCAGCATTTGGATTCTTATCAGGATGGTATTCCTTGGCCAACTTCCTGTATGCCTTCAAAAAACGATTAAAAAAAAGGGGGGAGCATTATTACACAGTATACAAACACCAGTTTAAAGATTTGCACTAACTTTCTGAGAAACAATGTACTAAAGTCATAAACTTCCAAAAGTATCTTTTATTTGCTGGACTGTTTGGCCATTTTCCATCTTGGTATTGTTTTTTCACTAATGTAATGTAACAAAATGGTAATCTGAATGTCTTTGATGGCAGTAATCCGACCAATATGACCTCAATACATGTGGAACAAAAGATGGTTAAACTTTACAGACTGCAAAACGTTATTACACGAAAGTCAAACTAAGGTAAGAATACCTGCTGCTCATGAGGGCTCCTGTCTTCCCTCTAACTGTAACATCAGGAAAAAGTCAAGGTCTTAGGAAGTGTCTTTTGGTGTTTCATTTGCACACGGTGGGTGATGGGTCTACATTGACTTTGGTTGTAATGAAATTGCATAAACGCTTAACTAGGTGGGTGAGCATACACCATTTAAGTCTCAGTTCACACATGAATTATATAACACAGACTAGCATTTCCGGTAGGGTAACAGGAAGTTCATTTTACTCTGAACTGTAACCGTCCCACTCCCTAAGAAGCAGTTTCATTTTTCTCGGCTTAGAAATCCGGATACTCTAACCCCCGTGAGGATGCTGTGGGGCTTAAATTAAAAGTCTCAAGTGCTTTGAAATCCTGAGATGAAAGACTGAGCAGCATTGCAAAGGACGATAATAAGGCCTTCTATTTATTTTTAATAGGTGTACACTCAGGTGTTTGGCCAGTACCCACGGTTTATTCCTGAAGCGGGGACAGAACATTTAGTTTACCTGCCCGCAGAACAATGCACCCAAACACCGACTCACGCTACCTCCAGGTCAATGGGCTGGGGAGGAAGAGAGGGAGGAGTTCCGCAGCCGGCGACCGCGGTCCCAGGAAACATCCTCAACCGCCCCGAGGCAGCCGGCGCGGGCCCCCCCCCGCCACTCGATCCCGCAGCGCCGACAGCTTCCCTCCTGGGGCAGGGATGCGATGAGCACCGCGGTCCGACCTGTTTTTCCGGGGTGGTGCCATCGGTGCGGGGAGGGCCAGACCGGCGGCTGCCTCCCGGGAGCGCCCGGCCTGCCTGCCGAGGGAGGGAGGAAGGAAGGGTTTTCGTCGTGTTTGCGCAGGGGTGAATTTTATTTGCTGCATCTGCGGGCGGGCGGGGCCGGCAGCCCAGGGCCAGCCGAGGCCGGAGT